AAAAATATTTAGACTCTGTATTTTAAATATATTTTCACTATAGTGCTATACTTTTTATAAAGTGATGACATATTCTGAAAGCCCGTAGGGTTTTCTATTATCCTATATAATTGGATTATAGCTTAGGTCGATTAATTACCAAAATAAATTGAATACAATGAAGACACCCTCATATCCAGATTCCCAAGGATTTTTTTCACTGTGATCAAAATTAGGTTTTTAAATTTTTTATCACTATAGAGTTATCTTTTTAAAAAAGGCAATTTGTATTCTGATAGAGCTTGAAATTCTCTATCTTCCTATATATTTGTCAACTGTCTTGCATTTATGTATTGCAAAAGTAATTTGAACACAATGAAAAGATTCTTACTCAACAAGTACCAAAAATCTGTATTTTTTTCGCTGGTTTTTTTAATTGTTACCCCCAAAGAAATAAATTATATAACAGAAATTATACCATTGGTAGCGCATAAAATGCTCGATCATTCTATCTACTGTTATATTATTTTGAATTCGTCTCTTATTATTTGATGACGTACGACCACGTCCTTCGCGTCCGATAGCATTATTTATTTCACGAAATACTTGTAAAATATTGAAAACGGTTGCACGTGAACAAATTAATAATAGAAGCTATTTGTTTCGGAGTCATACCTTGATCTAAACGTAGCGAAACAGTTCGCCATCGATCGCCAACAGACAAATGACTATTCATTAGTAACGAATCGGTTATGTCTTCAGGCCAAGTTGGATGTCGAGCAGAAACCACAATTTGGAAGAGCTAGTTTACTCACACGTGAAAAGTAACGATCGTACTGTAAAAGTGAATACTGAGTAACTGGATGTGGGTATGGGTGGGTGTGGGTGTGTGTGGGTGTGAGTGGGTGTGGGTGTGGATGTGGGTATGGGTGTGGGTGTGGGTATGGGGGGGGGAAGGGTGTGGATGTGAATAGGTTTAACGTGAAACAGCCACACCCACGCCCCACATACCCACACCCACACGCCGCACCCCCCATACACTCCCACACCCACACCCCACACCCATACCCCACATCCACCCACCCCCCCCACACCCACACCCACACCCACACCCTAGTTATAAAATACAATTTCTTTTCAATTTTTAACTTTTCTGATGAGTAACATCAATGTTCAACAATGCGCTTTGTTTTGGCTTATGTTACTAATTGAAATTAAGCTATTGCATGGTTTATTCATTTACTTTGTGTGAGTGACATTCGACCAGTTATAGTTAGTTGTGGAC